GTATTTGAAATTTTAAATATTTTAAATAAAAGTTCTGGCATATAACGCAGATAACGTAAATTGACGATCTAATTATATAATGTAATAATATAAAAATATAAAGTTATAATATAAAAATATGAGAAAAAGACAGAGAAAATAATATTTATAAATTTAATCTAATATTTACAAATTTCCCTAATTTGCACGAATATCATTTAATACTTGTTTATATAGCGCGTCGCGACATGAGAGCGTATTTTTCATGATTTCGTCACCGTGACAAGCCCTCGCGGCTGAATATTCTCCCTGCGCGCGATCTCCATGCGCGATTTGAGAGGATCTTGACGCTCGACGATTACCACCTTGTCGCGGGGCAAGGAGGATTCGTGCGCGAGAATCTCGGTTGGCGGGCAAATAGAGCGGCGGGTCCCCGCGCACCCCACGTGCGAGACCGAGGAGCTCGACCTTATATCCATTGACAACTTACCTCGACGAGCGCTCGGATAATGGAGATAAGCACGAGAGTCGTTGGCGAAATCGGTTGCCAAGAGATAGTCTTCCGAATGTTACAAACGCTTAGACGTCGTGCACTCGCAATGGCACGGTTTTCCCGCGCGAAAAGAGTATTACCTTTATGACTCTGTTAAGGAAGAACGTGTTAGTTGAAAATGTAATAGTTTAGCCAGACCAAGAGATAGACGCTTTGATCTATGCTGATTTTCGATCTTTTGTCACATCATCGAATCAATTTGGCAACATAATTTCCTTTGTGTTTTAATAGATTTAATTATCATGTGGTACACGTGAAAATTAAAATACGTATCTGTTTAATTCATCAGTAAATTATAAGCAATCAATGAAATTCCAAATACATACATGATCAATTCTATGCATTAATTTATTCTTTATTATTCTAAATAAGTTACATTGGCTAATAATAATCAATACTATTTGTGTTTAATTTGAGCATACAATATTCCAATATTAAACAATAAATTATATCAATGTTAATTAATAGATATTTAATATTACATTCCTGTAATTAGTTCTAGTTGTCGCTTTTATATAGGGTGATCTACGTAAATTATTACGGATTTTGCTCGCGTCCGTAAAAATTCGGATATTTTAGACTAATTTTAGGACAATGGAAAGTAATTCATATCCCATTTGCCTCATGTTCGGTTATACAGTTCAGAAGTTTTTAGGCTCTTTAGTGTGTGTACGGTGTTTTAATATCGTGGCGTTCAATAATTACAGAATTTTGCAGCTAACTATAGACGATAGAATTTGAATTTTTGATAGAATTTTTTACAGATGGATACACGTCACTTGATACCAACATATTTTTGTTGATACTGGTACCTGCAGCGCAACAAATTACATGGAAACATTACTAATCATAGTAATAAATGTTTTTTATACATCCTTGTTAAACACAATCGGTAGTGATATGCAACAAT